GTTTTAAATAAGTTGCCAAAACTTTCCTTGTGGTTGCTGTAACTGTCTGCTACACTAATTTACAGTCTCACTGTTAATGGGTCTACCTGGAAATAGAACAGTATAATTGTTTTGCTCCATATTTAGCTGCTAACCAGATGTTGTCAGGCTTCTGAATTAAATCCACTGGTTTATTTGCTTTTGTGATAGGTGCATCTTTGAACACTTGAATTACTTGAACTATTTGAGTTAAATAAAAGCTTAAAAACACAGGTAGAAAGTGGGAATGTAGTAAACTGGAGATTGATCAATTCATAGTTGAATACTATATGAACAGACTTCATTGAAAACATGTGCTATGCGGTGAAACACATGATTTATATAATTTTGAGGTCACCTCCTTATTTGGTCCCTGAATTGAACGATTTGCTCAAGGCAGGCAGCCTCCCCTTCTGCAGGAAAGCAGGTTGCTTTCCACTACTGCTTCTGCTGGGTATGTTTGGTATTTGTGTCAGCCTTCGACAGAGATGTCAGGTGACATCAGGTGTAGTGCAATAAAATATTGACACTGGAAAATAACAGAGAAATCAGTTGATTCTAGAAGTTCTGAATCTAAGGTCAAAATATTTTCAGCTGTATTTAGGGGCTTTGTAAAGGTCACAGCCAGAAGCGAAAGGACTGTAAGAGCATGTCCAGAGGAGGACCAGAAAAATGATCCAAGGAATGGAACGTGTAGCCTATGAAGACAGGCTGAGAGCTGGGGCTGTTCACCCTGGAGAAGAGAAGGCTCTGGGGAGACACAAGAACAGCTTTCCAGTATCTAAAGGGGCTGTAAGAAAGAAGGGGACAGACTCTTTGCAGAGTCTATTGTGATAGGACTGGAGAAAATGAGTTCAATCTAAAAGAAGGGAGACTGTAAGTGGATATAAGGAAAAAAAGTTTTTTATGATGAGTAGTGAGGCACTGGCACTGCCCTGAGAAGTGGTGGATGCCCTATCCCTCCTTGAGAGGATACACTCAAGGTCAGGCTGGACCAGGCTCTGAGCACCTGATCAAGCTGTAGGTGTCCCTATTCATTGCAAGGGTTGGAGTAGGTGGCCTTAAGGGTTCCTTTGAGCTCAAATGGTTCTGTCATTGTATAAAATGCAGCCACCTGCAATCAGCAGACATGATTGCCTCCCTGTGCTGGCAGTGGTGGCTTCCAGCATGTTTCCCATCCCAACCTGGTGAGGCAACAAGATGTGTGTTGGCAGGATGGACTGGCCTCACCCCTGCATTATCTTCATCCTGGCAGGATAAAACACATGCTCAAAGCGTGAGTGTGAACTAGTGTTAAGTAGTGCAATACAGGTGAATGTGCTGGTGACTATCAGTTCTTGCCTGTCTTGGTACCAGATGAACCATTCTTGTAAGGATCTTCCAGAGTATGAAAGAAGGAAAGAAGGATATACTGGGATTTTATTCCTCACATTCCTCGTATGTATTTATAATTCAAAGTCAGTGACATTCGTTTAATAGAATTATAGACTGCCTTACGTCCTTAAAGCCCACTCAGCCCCATTCCCTGCTATGGGAAGGGCTGCCACCCATAAGCTGAGGCTGCCCAGAGCTCCATCCCAGCTGGCCATGAGCACCTCCACAGATGGGGCATCCGCAGCTTCTTTGGGCACCATGATTTGCTTCAGTGGTCTTTTGTTACAAACAGAATTTCTAGAGAACCGTTTAAAGAATTTCTAATGAAAATATTGAACTTCACTGAAAGTGTGATTATTTAACTTTTCTGAATGTGTGGTTATTAGTATAATTACAGATCTGACCCTGCATCCTGATTGCTCTGTGAGGTTTTTATTGAAATATTTCCCTACAGTTCTTGTATGGATTTCTCAGAATCACATAAAAGGTAGGAGAGAACTAGCTGTGTTGTGAGAGAATGAAAAGTAAAAGCAGGCTGAACTTGTAAAATGAAGATTCAGTTTGTAAGCCTGAAATCCATTGAGTTCACCCAGCATGCAGACCTTATCCAAGGTCTGCCAGCTCAGCGCACCACAGCACTGTCATAATCAATCAAACCTGCCAGATAAAGAGAGGCTATTTTAAAATTTCTCCTTCAGGGCACGGGAAAGTACTGCTCACACGAAGATAGAAATTTATGATGATGCTAAAAAAGATGCAGATGAAGTGAATAATTAATGAATTCAAGACAGGACTGAAATATCCTCCTAAATTGTTGCTATTTTTAGTAAGGAGCGCTTCTGCAGTGCTTGTCATGTGATTCTATTGCCTTCTGAGAGCAGGAAAACAATTTGCATTAGTTTCTCTTTCCCCAATGGTCTGACAGATTCAGCATATAGTATCTCTTAGCATCTGCTTTTGCATTAAAGCAAAGAAAGTGATTTTGAACATCATGCAAAATAAAACACTAATGAGAGCTGTGCTTAAAAATGATCTTTGTAGAAGCTGAATATTTTTTATAGTACTTAGAGGCTGTACAAGGGGCTACTGCAATGTGCCTAACATTTAGCTGCTGCAGATGTCTGGTGGTACACATTGCTGCTGCAATTTCTAGCTGTCAGACTACATAGGAGGAAATTATCAATGGCTGATTGCAGGATTTGGCTCATATACAAAGATTTAATGTAAACAGGTAGGTGTTTCTTTTCTTTCTCTAAACAGCATAGGTGTTGCTGTGTTTGAGCTATTTCACAGTATGGCAGGATGCTTGAGGTGGGCAGGGACCTCTGGAGGTCACCTGCTTCACCCCTGCTCCAGCAGGGACACCAGAGCAGGATGCCCAGGGCCATGGCCAGGCACCTTTGGAAGATCTCTAGGGAGGGGAACTCCAAAGACTCTCTACTTCACACAGTAAAAGTGTCATAGTCAGAAAATGACATAAATGATTATATGCAGCAGCTCTGCGGACCTGCTCACGTTTTTATGCACTCTGCTCAGCTGAGCCTGCAGGGAGGGACATCTGGTGGTGGAACGGTTGGAGATGCTGTGAGGAATGGGTCTGCGGTCTTCTCTTCTGCTACAGCCAACTGAATTTATGCAGGGCCATTGCCTCTGCCATAGTGAATTTTCAAGTGTTTAATGTCCCCCTGCCTGGCCCTGGAGGGGATTGCTCCTTCCTGAGAAGTGATGAGGTTCCCAACGGAGTCAGGAACTGCTTGCTGCCTTTCTAGACTAACAGACTAGTCACAAGTTAACTACAGGAAAAAAACCCCACAGAAAAAAGCCCCTCTAAATCCTAACCTTTTTGGCATTGAAGAAGATCTTGGATTTGCACCCTTGTCCCCAGGTAGTAGGTGGAGTGCTGACTGGTTGCTCTCCCATGTGGGTTGGTTCCTATGTGACTGCTGTGAAGTATGTAGGGCTCCCTGGATCCTAACAGGACCCTGGTCTCCAGCCCCAGTGGGGTGCAGACCCCTCGTGGGGAGCAGGTGCTTGCCATGCAGTCAGCAAGATGAAGTGTCACCATGAGGACACAGTGCTTTGGTGCCAGGGCCTCTCATGGATTGCTGGGACCACTCCACTCCCAGTCAAACCCTTTGGTCTCAAGGTGCATGCTAAGCCATCTTGGCTCTGTCAAGGAGAAGGCATTTCTGGGTATATCTTGAAACAGCAGAAAAACCTCTGGACTGCAGCATGTTGCTGTAGGAAAAGAGCTTGTGAGTCCTGAGACACAGAAGTGACCTTCAAAGTCTCCTTCAGCCCCAGGCCAAATTGCAACATAGTGGTGGTACAGTTTGTGAAGCTCCTGGGTTAAGCTGTGGATGGTGGTTTATTGGAAGGAACTGGAGTTTGAGATATGGCTCCTTGGTTGTGCTCAGGTTGTAGGTGTACGTGCCATAAAGGCTTTGCTGCACCTGGCCCTTGGTCTCTGTCTTTCCATCTCTATGTATCTATCTGAAAGGGTCATTTAAAGTTTTAATTTCTCTAAGGCATATGCACACGTGCTTTAAATGTTGACATGCTTACAGAATCCGGCGCTGTATGAAGTTTTGTAATCAAGAGGAGGTGATCCTCAAGTAGAAGTTGAATTTGGTAGATGTGAGTGCTATTTGATTGAAAACTCTTGTAAAAATATTAAATTATCATTACTGTATTTTGTACCAGCTGATAAGACTATTCCCAAGTTTATTCTTCCCAACTTTCCATCAGCTTCCCCATATTAGAGGCTAATACTTTTTTTCCAGTCTTCTTTCTTTTGTGTAAGCACTTCCTAACTTATTCAAAATAAATCAGGTTATAAGCAGCTGTTTTTTAAGCCAACCTCATTCATTTAGAGCAAAAGAGTGTAGGTGATACACACTGACTCAATGAGAAAGTGAACTGGAAGGAGTGGGACTCTCTGACAAGGGAGATGGTGAATGGCTGATGCCTTTAGTGGATGTCTTCCATAGGATGGAACACAAAAACAATGCTTACATAGTCTGGAAGCCTGTCTTCACCTAAATTCATCTCAGCACTTAGAGTTACTACTCCTGTTTGAGGCTTTTGTGAATTGTGGTTCTGCGATAACAAACCAAATGATGGGTATTGAATTGCATCCTTTGTAATTAATGAGATGCACTGAGTACTCCTGGTGATAAAAAGATGTAGAGATTTTAAGATCTTGAATGATATCACCACTCTACAAACCTTTCATAATGTCTGTTCAAGCACTTGCACTCATGATCAAGCAATTGCTTATATAAGCCCAGTAATATTTTGTGAGCTGCCTTGGGATGATCATAAATTAAAATCCCTGTTTCCATTTTCATTGGTGCTGACTTGATTTTGACAACAGTGCTTCTGGAGGATCATTTCTGCTTCACACACTGTGTGCTACCCATGTGACTGCTTTATGAAACACTCAGCAATCCTGCTTTATTTAGTTAAAACTGGGATTATTCACTGCCAGGATTAATTCTGTAAATTGAACAAGGAAGTTCTGATTTTGTGCAGTGAAATTCATAATTCTTTACGAAATAGATTTTTTTATGGCTAACTCCTTACCAATTTTTCTTTTCTTTTCATAGGAAAAATTAACCCAGGAGTGTGTATTCAGAGAGCAGTTTGAAGAAAACTGGTATAACACATATTCATCAAATCTATATAAACACGTGGACACTGGAAGACGATACTACGTTGCGTTAAATAAAGATGGGACTCCAAGAGAAGGGACTAGGACTAAACGGCATCAAAAATTTACACATTTTTTACCTAGACCAGTGGACCCTGAGAAAGTACCTGAACTATATAAGGATATTTTAAGCCAAAGTTGACAAAGACAATTCCTTCACTTGAGCCCTTAAAAAGTAACCACTATAAAGGTTTCATGCGGTGGGTTCTTATTGATTAGCTGTGTCATCACATCAGCTCCACTGTTGCCAAACTTTGTCGCATGCATAATGTATGATGGAGGCTTGGATGGAACATGCTGATTTTGTTCTGCACTTAAAGGTTTGTCCTCCTGGAGGAGAGCCTATGCCCACTCGCTTGATTTAGTACGAGAGGGAGAGCGCGAGAGAGTGAGTGAGAGCGAGAGGAAGCGAGAGCGTGAATGGGAGTGAGAGAGGGGAGCCAGAGGGAGGAGGAGAACGGCCTGATGCATGCTGGGGAATGGACACGCTTTTAAATTTTTGATCAGTTGTACTTCGTCATATATCAGCATAGCTGCCATACTTTGATTCATCGGGATTTTTGGCTGGTGGCCTGCTCAAGTGTACGCTGCATTTACAAAGGCATGGAGGGTGCAGTCTCACGTAGACAAGAGACTTTTCAGTTAATCGCTCGCTGGGTCTCACCCCGCTGAGTTTAAAGCAAAGACCTCTTAGTAAAAACAAATAAAAATAAAAAGTTAAATTTATTTATAGAAATTCCAAAGGCAACATTTTATTTATTTTATATATTTATTTATTATATAGAGTTTATTTTTAATGAAATATGTACAGGCCAGATAGGCATTTTGGAAGTTTTAGGCTCTGTAAGCATTAAAATGGCAAAGGCCACTATGAACCTGTGGTAAATTCATGCAAGTAAATATAAAGGTGCATGGATAAAGAGAATAACAATAAAAAGGTAATAATAATAAATACTAGTGACCCTCATGTACTAAAGGCGACAATCTCTTTTGTGCCCATATTATTGTAAAAGTATGCATACCACTCATGACACTGAGTACTCACTCTTCTGACTGCTTGTTTCATAGCTTACCCCCAGAGGATTAAAAAGAAAACTGGGTCTCCAACTATTTTTCTGTGTCTGTAATATTTCCTCTCTGGTAAAATGACTTATTACATCATTGTAAAATTCACAGCTGTGGAAAATATAAGGGTTGGAATATATTCTACTTGTTAAAACCTATTGCAGATCATACCAAAGCTAAATGAGAAGTATGCTTTTTTTTTTTTTTTTTTTTTTTTTTCTCCTCTAAAGCAGAATTCCAGAAACAGCATAAGTAATATCAACAGTTGTACTAATTTTAAGATTCCTCAAATAGCACATAAGGGTTTCAGAGGGCAAGAACCAGGCTAACAGGATCAATCTTGTAAATGTGTTTTATTTGTGCACTTAACTATCTACTATGAAATTATACAAGTTCCATAGGGGTCATTGTAACATCTTTTATGGAAAATTGCTTTCAGTGTGAACTGTCATAATACATGATATTAGCACCCTTCTTAAAGTAAAACTTGCAAAATGAAACTAATAAATCTCTATCAATAATGACAATGGGGGGAAAGTATTAGACTTTTTTCTTAAAGTATGTTCAGATATTCATGAACTGTGAAATAACAGCGTGTAATACTTAAGGAACTGTAGCATTGTATGTTAAGCACACAAACACATTGATGAGCTGTTACCATTTGGGAATTAATCTGTAGAAAGAAACATTTTTTTTCCCCAGTACTCTGAAGGTTAAAAAAAAAGAGAGGAAAGTCACATGAGGTCCGCACGACAAATGCATTTTGGAGATGTTGCATCCTTTAGGGTTCGAACCTGGTGCCATTAATGCGAGCACAGCTTTTGCTGTGGGGTCTGGAGGGAGCGTGATACCCCGGCTGCCCTTGGCAGCACTAGAGCTGAGCCAAAACATGCTTTGGCATAGCTGTAACTGTACCCTGCTCACAATTATGTAATCCTGATTTGTTTTTTCTCTGATGCACACCTGTCTGTGCAGTATAAACAGATAGGATTCGAGGCATAAGTCTGCTCTGGAATAGCTCATGGCTCGGTGTGCTTGGTGAGCGGGAGCTCTCTGTGCTCTGTGGGTAGGAGGAGCCATGCCTCAACTAGGAGATACCAGCAACCTTCACTAAAAGATGGCATTTTGTTGTAATGTTTTTGAGTGATAAAGACACTTGGAAGCAGATTGTTGATTTGTAAGATGCAGTCAGACACATGCACTTGCCTGGGGACTGCTGTTGCTGAGGGGCCAAAGCCCAACCTTCAGCACAGCGGTTGCGGTTGGTTTCCAACCCTTTCAAACCTGCATGTAAATGTGGCTGCAGGTTATCCAGGTGCTGAATGGTTGGGCCAGGAGCACAAAGCCTTGCAAAAGCTCAAACAAGTAAGCGAGCTCCTGGGACGTGCTGGGTTCACCACTTGTCAAACAGACCAATGGTACTCAAGGAAGGACGGCTGTGACTCTGTGTTTTGGCAGAAAATCTTGTGTGTGCCAAGAAGTGAACTGCAAAGTTTAAAAACCTGACGAGTAGAGGCCAGGGTGCTAGGCCATGGACTGAGTCTTAATGTTCAATTGATTTGGATTTTTAGTCATAGACAAATCATTACTACTCGTTAACATGTTCTAATTTTTTTTTTTTTTTTTTTTTTTGTATTTTTCTAAAGAAAGGATTAAAACCAAGAAAAATGTTATGAGTTTATGGCAGTCCATATAAATAAACTGTATCCAATTTACTCTAATAACCCATAATGGTGTGTAAATACTGACTTTCTGTAAATATGGAAACATGTAATTTAACACAGGCGTTACTGTGAGACTGGATGGTCCAGGAGCTGGCAATTTACCACTCGTTGCATGTTGACTGGGCCTAATCCAGCCTGGCTCAAGGACCGAACAACAGATTTTGTTCAGTCACTTGTGCAAAATGAGTTATTTCTGTTTTCTGGCGGGGGTGGACAAAGCCTTAGTCCCCTGGGTGCTGCTTGGCTTCCGTGCCAGGGGCATGGATGCGCTTCAGCTCCTCGCTCCTCCCTGCTTTGGTCCCAATGTAGCTGAGCTGACGTGGGCACACGTGTGCTGCTGCTGCCCCGCAGCCGTGCACAAACAGAACTCTTCATTTCCTACTGCTGCCGATCTGACACCCCTTTTTAGCATTGAAATTCACTTGAAGAGAAATCTGAGGGGGAAAAAACAGAGCAATTGGTGTTATTTACTTGACATTCTGTAATGGTGTGTAAAATACATACAGAATTCTGTAAATTGTATAAATACATTGCTATAGAATTTTGAAAATTGGTATTATTTGCTTGATGTGCCTTCACAGCATTTTCTTAATAACTGTGCATATCTGTAATAATGGGATTGCAGAAAGACATCATCTTTTTATGCCTGGAAAGGATGTGAGAAAATTTCAGGAGAACCAAGAGCAGGATGATTTTCTTTCTTTTTTTCTAAGTTGGAAGAAACAGCAAAAAATGGATAAAGTATTTCACCCCACGTGGATCTGTCAACTACTGGGTGAGCAGCATGGGCGAAAAAGGCGATGGAGATCCAGAGAAGCTTTATGGCATTGACTGGTTTGGGGCTACAAGCACACCATGTCAGGCTGAGCTCCAAGCCCAGTGGGGTGGGTGAAACCTTGGCAGTGCAGGGAACAGAAAGGGAAAAATCAGAGGAAAATTGTTTTAGACTACTACTGATTTGTGCAGAACTTGAACTGCCTGCTGCCAACTGGAAGGGAAAAAGAAACACCTATCTGAATGACTGGTGTAACATTGGAAGTCTGGAGATGGGACTCTCCAGTCTCTGAAAAAGTCGCTCACTACTACTGTCCTCATGGAAGAAGAGAAACATGTTTAATACACACTGATCACAGGGAATTGATCAGACTGCTTCCAGAGCAGTCCCAGGTTTCTCTGGAAATGGAAAATGGCAGGAAGTAGGAGAAGATGCACCTGGAGCTTCCATGTCTTCACTGCATGTCTCAGAGTCACTTCCATCTGCTGCTTAGTCTATGCTCTGCTCTGCATAATCTTATAGCATCACAGAATCGTTTGAGATGGAAGGGACTCTTAAAGGCCACCTAGTACAACTCCCTGCAGTGAACAGGGACACCTACAGCTCAATCAGGTGCTCAGAGCCCCATCCAGCCTGACCTTGAGTGTCTCTGGGGACAGGGCATCTACCATCTCTATGGGCAACTTGTACCAGTGCCTCACCATCCTTATTGTGAATATTTTTTTCCTTGTATTCAACTACAGTCTCCCCTCTTTTAGACTGAACCCTTTTCCCCTTGTCCTATCACAACAGACCCTACTAAAGAGTCTGTCCCCTTCTTTCTTGCAGCCCCCCTTAAATACTGAAAGGCCATTCTCAGCTTTCCCCAGAGCCTTCTCTTCTCCAGGCTGAACAGCTCCAGCTCTCTCAGTCTCTCTTTTGTATCAAGCAAAGAAGCAAATATAAGCTCCAGCTCTGCTACCCTTGGATATGGAAGCAGAAATAAATGGGTGGCCACCCATACTGGGTACCTCTTTGTTCAAGCTCCTGTCCCGGCTCATGACATCACACATGATACCTGTGACGCCCATCACAAATTGTCCTTGCTTTGCAAATGTGGAGATCTGTCTCCTTACAATTACAGCTTCTACTGCAGATGTGCGAGGTTCTGTTTTTTTTAGAAATTTGGCTGAAATCTTGGAGATTTGGCCCCTGCTGGTGTAGCTAGATAGGTGCAGGCAGTCATATTTGGAAACAGGGACCTCAGTGAAGAAGCAGCCAACATCCTCCTCAACATTTTTTCCTCGTGGCACATCATTTACTGATCTACGAACAAAAACCAAAAGACTTCTGTTTTCCAGACTTTTCTCTCTTCTCTTAAGCTCTTGAGCTGTCCATGGGTTGCTCACAGTGCAATCCTGCTCTGCCTTAGCATCAGTTTTCACCTTCAGAGAGCGTTAAAAGGGGCTTTACATCTACCTGCTGACTCAGTACCAGGGACATAAGCTGAACTCCTGTTGTCAGGAATTGGGAGAGGCCTACCCAGCACCTTGCAGCTGAACATTTGGCATTATGAAGTGAGCAGGGCATGACTAATTTTTCCTTGAAATCCTTGAAATTCAGGATTTATAAAATTTATTCACCAAGCACAAGAACATCCACAACAGTTAGTGATTAAAACAAAGGAGATGCTATCGTGCAAAGTGTCTCAATGGTTCTGTTGTGTGCTTACCTTGAAAATTGAAATAAAAAAATACTTTTTAATGGTCAGGAATTTAGAATGAGAATAATAATCAAGTTTGACCTGTTAAGGAGTTTATAAAACAGTTCTGTTGTCTTTTTTTTTTTTCCTCCAATGATTACATAACTTTAATAGCTTGTGTACATTTTCCCCTACCTGATTCTATTAGAAAAGATTCTTTAATTTTTCATTCAGTATTTCTGAAGTCTGGTTTTCTACATATAATTTTTTAGAGCTATTCTGGTCTGTGCCCTGTGGCAGGAAATTCAGTGTGAGATCCTTGGTTAGGACAGATGACTGTGTGCATTACAAAGATGCTGCAGTGATGCTCAGACTGGATGGTGTAGTCTATAGGATGACCTTGTCCTGTGGTAGCTATCAACAGAAGGCCGCAACATTATTAATTGCATAAAGCATTATATCTTGATGTTTTCCTGGGAGAGATCTTTTAAAATAGTCCTCAAGTCACACAGACTTTATTAAGCCAGTCTCTCAAACAGACACTCACAGCTGTCCTACCATGGAGAGCAGTGTATAAATTACAGTTTAGCTGTGTATTGCTTAGTGATGCAGGGGGTTTTCATCTCATAGCAAAACAAAACAAAACAAAACAAAAAACCCAACCTTATTTATTCATTTATGTATTTTTAGGTCAGAGAAAGTTATTTTTATATGCAATACTCACACGTAGCAACTATGGCACTAAGTCAAAAGAATTCTGCAATTAGACTGAACTGTCAACATATTTCTCCCATTTCTGTTTTCTTGAGAAATCACAGACAATAAAACTATGGTGATATGCAAGCTATGTCCTGTAGATTTTTCATGTCCAAAGGTCCTGAATATGTATGTATATCTTACTTACTGGAGGCAGTAAGTCTAGGTGAAAGGAGCATTTCTGAAATGCTGTAATACATTTATTTTATTGAAACTGTCTCCCTGAGTGTAGCTTTAAATAAAACTATTATTATTCCTACCTTTTCTGAAAGGGTAGATGTAA